TGTGATGAACAGTGTGTGAAGAGTTAAAAAGTTTCAGTTAAATTGTGGTTTGTTTTACGTGCTTGACAGTATCTTGTTCTGCGGTATGGAAACTCTCCAGCAGATAAAGACAGATTGTTTCCTCAGTCGTCAAGTGTACAAAATGTACAATAAATCAGCTACAGTCCTCAAGCTTTAAATTTAAAGAATAGTTTTATGAAACTGTGAGGCTAACAAGTCTTTTCTCTATGTATCCCACTGCCTAAGCTTCACAAGTACATTTAACTGACAATTATTGTTGAGTTACTGGTGAAAAAGTTGTTCGATTTTATTTATATAGCACCAATTCACAACAACAGTCACCCAAAGGTGCTTTATATTATAAAATAAGGAACCCACAATATTAGAATGAAACCCAAAAAATTCCATGACTGAACCCCCTCTGAACAAACGTGTGGTAACAGTGGGTAGAAAAAAAGTCCCTTTTTAACAGGAAGAAACCTCCTACAAACCCAGGGTCAGGGAGGGCAGCCATCTGCCACAAATCATTTTGGGGTGAGTGGAAAGACAAGGAAGCAGAGAGAAGCAAGTCAAAAGACACACAATAGTTCAATTAGCTCAGTTTCAGAATTTAGGAATTCAGAAAATATGCTTGAACTAAATGAGCATTTTGTGCAATAACAAGTTAGTTCACCAAAAAAAAGAGAAAAAATTCATGTCAAAAAGAAAATTTCACCTCAAAAATATCATGTCTAGCATCTACATTTCTCCTCCCTTCATTGCATCTTCCTTTTTCTTCCAAAAGGAGTCAAAAGAAAAGTAATACAGCAGAGGATCCAAACAGCAGTTCACAGCAGCAAGACATACAAGTGGGTTTAAATGAGCAAAACTTTTTGTGGCTAAACCTATTTGCACAGGCAAGAAACAGATCGTGAATAAAACCAAATTCATGGCAAAAATCAGCATTACATTCACCTTGTTGTTGATCTTTGCAGTGTCACTGGGATGGTTGCATAAAGTCCAAGACACCATAACGGTGCAAATAATGTTGACTGCTAGCATTGTGACGAATAACACCGTATACAGATAAATAACTTCTGATTGTGTTGCACTCATAGAACCAGTTCCAAAACAACCGGTATTGTTTCTGTTTTTAAAATGTTTTAAGTCCATAAACCTTGGGACATTCATTAAGAGAACAATTAGCCAGACTACTGCTGCTCCTTTCCAGGCATTGGATGAAGTTCGAAGATGGCGTGACCTCAGAGGATAAACCACAGCCAGAAGTCTGTCCAC